CCATTTCAGTCTCTCTTTTTTGGGTACCTCCCCCCCAATCTTTTTATTGCCAGGCTGTCACCTTCAAGCATCTGATCTGATACTTGTCACTCCACACTACCTTTCACGATCTTTGTCTTTTGTTTCCTTTCCCAAAAGGTATCATTTACCCTAACATCACAATACCTTTATCTCCCACCTCATGCTTCTTGTGTAATCTTGCTGTCCACCCTCTGGTTTCAGCTCTAGTCACTTTGCCGAGCTGGTCTAGGTCATCTCCCAAACCACAGCTCTTTGTTTCCCTTCTTTCCTGCATCTTCCTTTTCAACACCCCCCATCAAAGCCTGAGGTGCAGCTCTCTTACCCTTTCTGCACTTAAGGTGGACCTGCTTGCTCTTCACCACCTTTAAGTACAATTGAGCCTGTCTCCTTCTATTCCTGTGTCCAAACTCACCGGGAAGGATCTGACTCTGTAGTCCTGGGCTTGATTTGGAGCATGTGCAGCCCAAGTCCAGTGCTGGAGTCTCCTCACTGAGGAGTAATTTAGCTTTGAGGCTGTGTAATAGCTCTGCTGAGCATGCCTGCACTGCAGTGGTTTTTTCCCCCCTAAAAAAACCTGATAGCTGACTAAAATTAGGCAAGCTTTCATTGAGATGGTGAAAGGAAACATCCTGATACAACACCCATCTCATAGCAAATTACGGTGCATCCTTGTTTGAAACTACAGAGGCCTGGGCAATTTCCAAAGGGGTCTTTTGTTTTTCTTAAAATTAAAAGGTCTGATCAGTCCCCTAAAAGCCAGCCATGCAGCGTATGGCAGAAATTGTATGGAAGCAATAGATGTGATTGGTGAAAGTACAGCAAAATTGTAGGAGATGGAAAATGGATCTCTGTGATGCTGTTAGCATCATTTATGACTTAAACGTTGTTGTGGTTTAACCCGGCAGGCAGCCAAACACCACACAAGTGCTTGCTCACTCCCCCAGCTCCCCACAATGGGATGGGGGAGAGAATCGGAAAAAAAAAAGTAAAATTCATTGATTGAGATAAAGACAGTTTAATAGAACAGAAAAGGAAGGGAAAATAATAATAATAATGATAGAATATATAAAATGAGTGATACACAATGCAGTTGCTCACCACCCGCCAACACCCAGCTGGTCCCCAAGGAGCAATTGCCCCTCCCCGACCAACCCCCAGTTTATGTACTGAGCATGACATCATATGGTATGGAATACCCCGTTGGCCAGTTTGGGTCAGCTGTCCTGGCTATGCTCCCTCCCAGCTTCTTGTGCACCTGGCAGAACATGGGAAGCTGAAAAGTCCTTGACTAGCGTAAATACTACTTAGCAACAACTAAAACATCAGTTATCAACATTATTCTCCTATTAAATTCAAAACACAGAATTATACCAGTTACTAAGAAGAAAATGAACTCTAACCCAGCCGAAACCAAGACAATTGTTTCAGATAAACTTAAAAATGCACCTAGGTTGGTGAGCCAAACTATGTTGTTCTACCTTTAGACAGCAAAAAAAATTGTAACAAAATACTGTAGTTTGCCACGTTGAGCGTGGCATCTGGGTATTGGACATTTCTCTACTCAGTCCCATAATACACAAAGGCGAAACTGTAGTTTTCTTTTATAAGGTTTGGAAATTTAAGATATTTCAACATAGGGTAAGAACAACCCAGAATTTATATGATTTTTGTGTAGTCAGTATGTATCACCATTCTCTAAAATGGTGGCTCTTCCATTTTCTTTCAGGTCACTTTATCAAGACTACAGTGATTTAGAGAGTGATACCCATTTTAACTGCCCACTTTCTCTCCTTCCCTTCATACTGTGATCTACTGTAAATCATTGGTGTTTTACTAAAGGATTAGTAACTTCCCCATCAGCCTTCCCCACATGGATACCAAGTGTCTCATCAAATCCAATAGGGGGAAAAAAAGCTTGATTATGTACATCCAAGCTTTTATTACACAATATCATTATCAAAGAAAGACTGGCAAGGATTTGAAAATAGTTTATAAAAAGCTAACTTCATCTCTGGCTACTAAGCATTACTATTTTATAATCTCAACCAAATGTGAAATTGGTATAATATGTTACGTGCTTTAATAATTTATTTCGGTTGTCTTGCTTGGAAGTCCAAGTTGGCTTCAACTGTTTTATTTATATGTTAGCACTTAGCGTATCTTGGGGATAAAAGAAAAGCGTTTCTTAGTAGAGAGATGAGATACTGTCATACTTTCTGCAGGAGATTTATTGGAGTTACTTGTTAAGAATAAAAAAGAACTTTTATATTCTGTCTACGTTGTTCTCGCAAATAAGAGTTTGCCAGAAGGTCTATATCACTGGTCAGAAGGAGTTGTGTTGATACCCTGCTCTTAATATACATATAGAACAGTCTTTTGAATCAACATAAGTTTCCCTGAGAGAAATGTGATGATTATTGTTTCGGGCACGTATGTATTGCATATTGAGAGAGGTTGTTTAGAAACTTCAAAAAATTGTAATCCTGTTCTCTTCTTGTTTACACAGAAGGTGAAAGAGCTTTACCATCAATACCAAAGTAAGTTTTATACTTTCTTTTCTTTTATATTAAAAAAATGTTTTGAAAAATAGTTTTGCTTAAGTGACGCTTTAGGACTTTCTATACATGCTTAATTTTTATTGTTGCTTTTGGATTCTAGGACAAATAGCAGGCGGTCATTTGGGACTATGGGGCATAAATGACTGACAGCAGCATTAAACTAGAAAAATACCAGAAATAAAATCTGAGGAAAAAAGTGCATAATGCATCAATCATATTTTACAGTAACAAAAGAAGGATTTTTGGAAAAGACTTGACTGGGATTCAGGCTATTTATTTTGAGTCCATGAGTAAATTTAATTAACTAAGAACTGCTAAACAGTTTTTGAATTGTGGTTTCAATCTGTGTGTCAGTCTATGCTCTTGTTTTTCTTATTTGTCCCCTTTTCTGCTTATGTGAAATACAGAAAATATTTTTTTTCTCCTATCATAAATCTGTCATGTCACCTTTTGTTAATAAAATCTCCATAATGGGGCCAGCCTAAGTTGGGATCTCTAGGTTCAATGTAATAAAGAATATCATTTACATAGCAAATACTTCTAAATCTACTTTTTTTAATATAGTAATGTAGAAGAATGCTTCTCCGATAGTAATTATGGATTTGTAGAAAATGCTAATCTATGTCAGGCACATAGAGTTGCATTTTTTTTCTCTGGCTAGTTTTATGGTGATACTGTATCCAAGGTATGCTGAGACATGCTATCTGCATCTAATAATTCTTACATAAAGTATGCTAAGATACCTTTCTGTTTTTTTCTCCTTCCCAAGCTTTAAGGTAAATAAGAAAAGATTTCTAATTTAGCTCTGTTTGAACTAAGAATGCTTCTTATGTTGTTGGAGTTGGTAGTTCATAACGCAGCGGTAGGCAAG